TAGTACCCGCGCCGCACTTGTGAACGCGGATAAACATTCAGCCGCATGGTGGTTAATAGTAGATGTCAATTGTGTTTGGTTGATTGAGGGGTAATAGGATTTGTCATACGGTCAAAGGACTGAGGTCTAGCTACTCTTTCCACTGTATGTGCGAGAGACGAAAAGCGTGTGTGTTTGGTTATAGAAGGGATGCCTCGGCCAAGGAATTCAGGGCAGCAGCGTGTGCAAGGGGGTAGGTGGAGGGCAGGGGTTTGTGTTGGTGTTTCGCCTCCAGGTTGTCGGCTCGGGCTGGAACGTGTGGTACCGCACTTCTTTTCGATAAGCTTGCACCCATTGCTGACGACTTGGACATCGCACATGATTGCTTAATTAAGACCTCTTGATGGCCCTGACGGCTGTGTGCACACAAGACAGTGTGCGCCATGACCCGGGGCGCTGCTGAGGCACACAGTGTAGGAATCCCCAGCCCAACAGGGGCTACACGCACATAAGAGGTACATACAGCAGCAAAGACTGCAAGCCCTGGTCCCCCAAACATTAACTAGGCAAACCCAGCCCTAGCCTACCTCACATGCAAGAGGTCAGATGATCAAGCAGCCGGGTTGCTAATAGACCACATCCCAGCGACACCCCGTGGACAGGCCATGCAAGCGCTACAGATGATGCAGGTAGGAAGGCGGGCCTGGCGGCGGCGGCGGCGTCCGTTGCCTCTTCACAAAGTTAGCCACCAGGCGTGTTCTCCTCTCCTTCGTAGGCCCACCCTGTAGCTGTGTCGCCAGGCGCACAGTGAGGCGTGCCAGCGGGACTGCTTCCATCGCCCAGGGTAGCGCCACTCGGATAGGCGCTCCTTTTGACTCTTAGCATCTGGCTCAATTTGTGTCCCATCGGAGCCTATGCACTGATTATGGACATCGGCATTATAGCGTCCTTGCACCGCCATCATCGTCTAGTAGTTTTTATTGGGTCACTGCCAGCGGCTGCAAATGTGCGCTCTGTCTTGACTCTAGCGGAATGGGTGAGCTTGACTTGTGCCGTACATGTGAGCTACGTATGTATCGGTCTCCTGGGCAGCCCTGAACATTTATTCGTTCGACCGGGGGGATCCGGGAGCGGGGTGCGGAGTGTGCTATCTTCCCTGGCGGTGTTGACATGAAAAGCACAAGCTATCACATCCTGCCAGGTTGTGCTCTTGTGTGTCGCGCGCCAATGTATCAGCCCCTTGCCCAGCAGGGGCCCCGATAAACGATGGCCAACTCAAAAGCCATTTCACCCAAAGCGAATGCCACCCAAAAGTTACGCGCATAAGAGCCTTAGTGTGTCTCCACATACCTGCTAAATGTAAACATGCCTGAAGACGATAATGAATCACATAGCGATAGACAGGAGCGACTCATGGCTTGGCGAAATCGTTCGCAACGACATTCCGACAACTGACAGCGACAGCGACACTCAGAGCGACGCTGACAGCTTATCTGATGGTGAGACAGTTGTCAGCGGCGCTGGGGCAGCAGGACTGGTTGCGGCGATGGGCACCGGCGCGCAAGCGGCCGCGCAACGTGGCGAGCCACAGGTATGTCTCACCGCTCACGTGGGCGGTCGGAAACAAGTCAATACCGCGTGGCGTTCTTGCCGAATGGCATCCCGCAAGGCCCGCTCCAGAATCCCCATCCGTCACATCTGGATATGCCGGCGTTCATGGAGTTCCCGCGGCCGCCCGCCCACACGGGACCCGCTGCGCCAGTTCCTCTTATTTCGCCGACGATAAAGGCCAACAAGCTCCTGTTTAATATCAACACCAACACCGCTGGCAAGTGTCTGGGCTTCAGCTCCAGCCCACGGCAGCGAGTTCGTTTATCTACGCAACGGTACCTAACTGGCCGTGGTGTTGGCGCTGCAGCATTGTCGGTCGGACCATCAGCACCCTGGACCCCTACGGAGACGCGGTGTTGGGCAAGTATTAACAGCGCCGGTGAGAGGGCCGGGTACGGCGGCGGCGGGGCCTAGCAACGCAGCAGCAGCGGCAGCGGCAGCGACAGCGGCGGGGCTGGGAGGTGCGGTAGCCTCAACGGCAGGCGCGGAGCGGCGGGGCCTAGCAACGCAGCAGCAGCGGCAGCGACAGCGGCGGGGCTGGGAGGTGCGGTAGCCTCAACGCAGGCGCGGCGGCGGCGGGGCCTAGCAACACAGCAGCAGTAGCGGCTGGGCTGGGAGCTGGGACCGGGGTTGCAGCGCGGGTCATGCAGCAGAGCTTCCGGCTTACATTCACGACGCCATGGCTGGTGCAGTTACTCAGACTGTATGGGGGACGGATCGTGCTTATGGACGCCACGTACGGCCTGACGCGCTACAATTACCCGCTCATCTCTCTGCTTGTGGTGGACGAGCACGACAACGGAATCCCCATCGCGTTTGGAGTAATTCAAAGCGCGCAGAGGGAGCGGACGACGTCCAGGCCTTCATAGAGGATGTCGAGGCGCTTACAGGTGGCTACCAAATCAACAAGATGCTCATAGACAAGCACTTGGTGAGGCCGCGGATGTCTTAAGTACCATAGCCGAGTGGATTGCACCGCCACCGAGGAGGACACGGTGACAGGCACGCAGCGCCGCCTGGTTCGGTCGGTGGCAGGGGGCCGGGCCGTGGGCCTGCCCCCATGGCCGCCGTGTGCACGCACTCAGCCGGCGGTGGCGGGGATTGGCGCGGCGACGTCGGGCATGGCGGCGATGGGCCTGACCGAGGCCAGGATGTTGCTGGACGATGATGATGTTTACTGTGTGATTGTGGAGTACTCCTGTAGCGATGTGGATAGTTCGGAGCTGCGTTAGGATTTTAGCTCCGTTGTTGTGCGTATGCAGGAACCCGTTAGGTCCGCTTTTGTTTGCCGACTGGGCTTTGCTGCAACCAAGTTGGTGGTGGTTTCTTTGCGAGGTGCGGTTGACGACCTCGGGTCACTGATAGGCTCGCGCAGCTCACCAGGGTGCGGGGTACTTTGGGTGATGCAAGCAGACTTGACTTAGTTCGAACGTTACACCGGGAGTCTCTTCATTTAAGTTTAAGATGAACACGTTCCATTTAAAGCCCTGAGTTCCTTTCTAGGCTTTGCACTGGGCCCTTGGGTGGCACTTGCATGACACCGACAACTGCGAGACAACTGCGGGCGCGCGGGAGGTGGTGGAGTGGCGGTAGGGCGAGCGGTTGTTGGGGGGGGGCGTCCACGAAAGGGCGAAGTGGTGTTGGAAGACTGTTGGTGTATGAGGCGGATGAGGTCCGGGCATGAGAGCTTGTCATGGGCCTCCGAGCCGCACTGCAGGCACCGGCCAGTGTCCTGGCGTTGTTGGCGGAGTGAGGCGGGGACGTTGATGGTGCGGGTGCGGGTGCGGGTGCCTGGGGTAGGCGGACCAAGGCGGCGGAGGTGTCCATCGGGTCGTCCCGGCGGTGGTCACATTGTCGCGGAGGAAGGTTGTCCACGTAGCGTATGCGATGGGCCGCATTGCGCCCCCTTGAGATGGTGAGCGCGAGGTTGATCATATCCTGTAGCTTCGTGTGGGAACCCTTGTGGCGTAGGCGCGAGAAGAGCTCCTCCCTGAGGTTGTCGTCCTGTAATCCTCACGCGAAGAAGAGGACGTGGTCTTTCTCGTGGCGGTGTGGTAGGTCAGCCATGAGGCGTTTGTACTCCGCGATGTAGCGTTGAAGGGAGTTTAGCCCGGGACCCTGTGTTAAAGCAAACATGGCGAGCTGCGCATCCAGTTCGTGGTGGATGACCGGGGCCAGTGGGGTAAGGGCTTGAAGCACCGCGTCGTAGGATGTGAAACGCGTGGCGGGGTCCGCATGGAGACGTCGTAGACTGTCGCCCGTTGCGCCACGAAGAACCGCAAGGGCGATTTTTGCTGCGTCTGGGCTATCCGGGGAGACGCCGACTATATCCAGGTTATGGCGCATTTGGATATCCCAGCCGACGCTGTCGGCATAGGGCTCCTTGGGATCAAAGGGGCGAAAGTTGCGGGCCACATGTAGAAGGTTGGGAGTCGATGATGGCCGAGGTTGGGAGTCGATGGGTAAGGGGACGTAGGCTGAAGGTGATACGGGAGGGGGGCGATGATGTATGGGGAGGTCGGCCATGGATGCGCGGACTGCGGAGGTGATGGTTTCCGAGAGCGTGGGAACGTATGGGTCGGCGACGGAGGTGGTGGGGACGGGGTTGACGGGGGCGATGGGGAACGGGGTCGTGAGCCGCGAAAGGAGACGCGTTGACGTATTCTTAAAAGGTGTCTTCCCCTAAAGGGGAACCCAAAGGGGAAGCCAAAGGGGTAACCAAAGCTGGGATCTCATCAGACCGCGAACGGGAGCGGTCTCGGTTGCTAGGGGATGCCGAAGGGACTAGGGCCATGATGACGAGGCGGAAAAGACGAGACGAAGACGAAGATGACCACCAAGGAAGCGTGTAGGCAGGATCGCCTTAACTGAAATAGAATGGACTTTGTTTCTAGTTGGGATGCCAAAATCGTTACACCGAGGGTTGAGCGACTTGAGCCTGCTAGCATACCACAAGATGCAATAAAGATGACATAACAACCTAAACAACAATAACGACTTAAATAGTTATCCAGTGCCTAGATGACGCGCGTTCGTGAGTCGAGCTAACTACTCAACAACTAACTACAAAACCGTGTCTTCAGCTCAGGTTCAATCAACAAAATCATTGAAGAACTCAAAAGGTAGAGAAGAGCTAGTTTGCGAAAGCACATGGCCGGCAGTACCAACGGTCGGTAGCGGCCGCGGGGAAGATGCGATTGTTACAGTGGGCCCCGAACGGGTCGAGTGCAGCGCCCCCTAGGAACGCCTCCCGCACAACACTGTGGGCCTTATTCAAAAAGAACGGGAACCCCCGGTCGTCTTCCTCTCGTAAAGCCTTCACGGCACAAGGTCGTACTAACCAGAGCTAAACCATACCTACTCAGTTACGATGGATTTGTAGAAGGGTTTGTTTTGCAGCGAACGTCAAAATGCCGGAAAACATTGAAATGCCGGAACCTGACCAAGCACAAGGACTTCAGGCTTCGACGCTCAGCTTGGCAGATCCAATTCCTGAAATCGTGGACCATATTTGCGCACAATTGCTCAACGATGGGCAGACGCTTTTGAAGCTGGGTGCAGTTAACAAGTTTTGGTGGGGGATTACAAGGGACCCGACGCTGTGGGAGCGCTTGAACGCTGCGCGCTTTGGTCCATCTGCGAATCCCTGTAAGTATTGTTTGCTCAAGAGAAGACTTCGCATGTAGTCATATATTTGGCTACTTTACTCCCACCCACTTGGGTCTGCCTCACGGTGGCCTTGCTTGTAACGCCCCTTTCGGCAACCGGAGCCCCACCAAATACTGTTGTCAACTTTGACCTGCTAAATTATTTACCCGGCTCTTGATGCACGTCGCTCTTCGAGCATCCCACGCACGGGCATTAACTCCATCTTGTGTTGGACCCTTTGGCCCGGACTCGTTTCGCATCGCCATCTCTCCTCTCCGCAGCGACATATGTCCCCGCATATCCGGCCACCGATATCCCGGGCTGGTGCTTCTTCGCTGGCTTGGACTCACCGGGGGACGACTGCGCTAACCCCACCAGCGCCAAGGGCAGTCTGAACCCGAAGGACCTGGCAGCACGGGCGGAAGGCTTGGGCGCCCTAGCCTTCAACACACAAGGCACGTGATCGTTGCAATCCGTTGTGAAGGCCTCGAAACGTACCCGTGGCTTAAACTTCCCAAAAGTTCTAACTTGCCCACGGTACAAGGGACAAGGGAAAGGCCACCATCGCTTGACACCCTTCCGTGTTACGGCTACATGTCAGCCACTTGGATGCCCACTTGTACGCTGTAGGTGCTGGGTGGCCCAGTGGGTGGCCCAGCTGGGTGGCCCAGCGTCCCCAGTTTCAGCCCTTAGGAGATCGCGGCAGAGGGCCCTTTGCCGCTACGACGTGCGTGATGCTCTCCCGCTCCCTCGCCCCAAAAGCGAAGAAGCGCCTTACCTTGCGACCAGGCGACCACCTGACGTGACCATCACGCGCGGCCAGCCGGCAACCCCACCCTCGCAGCTAATAGCTTGTGTTTGACACGGAGCATTGAACTTCTGTCCTTCGCCTCACGAGCGATTTTCCCTTCCTCTTTCCTCTCAACTCACCCATCGCGCGGTCCAGACCACTTAACCGGATCTTGCCTCGCCCTGTTATGTTTTCTTCCACACCGCCAGTTCCTCCCCGCGGTTCAGGTCATAAAAACGCCAGGCCGATGTGCCGTGCTCCCTTGCCCTTGCTGCGTTGCCCCTTCTAGGTTGGATCAAGAGGCAGCTGCTGCCGAGGTTCCGTTGGAACCGCTCCAGCTACGTGCCGGGGGTGGGGATGTACGTGCGCAAGGAGGCCGTAGCGCGTGTGTTGGGAAGCCCGCTGCCACCCCCGTTGCCGCAGCAGGTGGAGCCGCAGGGTGAGTGGGAGCGAATGACTGCATAATGGGCAGACGGACTGACGGACGCTGACGAGGCGCGGTTCATCATCCTGGGCCGATTGATGTGATGTTTGTGCATAGACGCCGTTGGAAATTGTATCTCTATCCCGCGCTCCCTGCCCCCTGCGCCCACTCCCCACCTCAACCCCCGTTTTCGTGTCCGTCCCCGCCCTATGCTCTCCCGGTGTATAGCCCGACCGCCCGACTTTCCCGGCTGGGTCTTTTTCCAGCTGATGGATTCCCCCGGTGGGGATATCCGCCACCCCGCCAACAATGACGCGGACTTCACCTCAACGTGCGTTCGCTGTCTGGTCGGGCATGGGTGGCCGTGGAGGGTTGCTGGTCAGGCAGGTCAGGTCCTGTTGTTGACTTCTAATTCCAGTGGGGTTGAGCTGAGCTGCTCACTCACTGTTGTGTGGAGTGAGGGAGGGAGATGTGGGAATGCGGGGCTCTGTATGGTGTGTTGTTATTGGCGTGAACGGACTGCTGCTTGCGACTTGTGCTACGTCTTGTCCTTCCTCGCCTCTGTCCGCACTTCCGCACCAGCTCTGACCCCCTCACACCTTGGTGCTTTGAACGCCGGCTGTTGTCTTTTTCCTGGCACATAACTATAACTGTCCCAGGGCTCCCACCCGCACGGCTTTACTTACCTAGCACGTGTATGATAGATACAGTGGGCTGTATTGAGGCGATTCAGCTCCCTGCCTAACCTCCCCCCATTTCCCGCCCAACTCAGGGTCCAGATCAAGTCGGTCCCAACTGTCTTTCCCTTACACCCGGCGTCGAAGTGAAAGTTGCTTTGCTTTTTTTAGGAACAATGCTTGAGCATTGTGAAATGGGGAATCCTTATAGCTCATTTGCCGACGTGCTTCCTCCTTACCTGCGTTCTTTCTCACCGGCAAGCCCATAGTTGCTCCACTTTGGGGGAGTTGGCGGAGGTGGCCTCTGCGCTGCCCCACTGCGTGGCCTTCAACACATCGGGGTACCTCAAGCGAACCCTGCAGCCGCAGGCAAGTGGGAGGCGTAATCAGAGGCATGACGGGGTGGGCTTTCATGGGGAGGGTCGTCGTCGCCGCGTCGTCAGGGACTTGCGGGGAGGCGTTATGAGGGGCACAGGGAGGCGAGTGGGAAGGCAGACAGAAGGACGGAATGACATGTATGTACATGGGGCCACACGTGCCGAAACGTTGCGCATCTAGTCCGTTGCAGCGTCAAGCCGGGGAAAGATGCGTTGCGTAGCAACTTACAGGTAGCGGCCAGCGCGAGCTTCAGCGGTTACGGAGGGTCACGCGCGCACACATGGACCCGTATGCGTGTGTACGTGCGCGGCTTTGCCTATGTAATTATCGGGTCAGTGCTTATTTCCATTCTCTGTTCCCGCCCACGCTGCGCCTTTCTTTGCCAACACGTCAGATTCTGTGCTGGTTCATGTGCCGCATCCGGCCTTCCGTGCTCCCGGCCGCTAAATTATCTGCCCCTTGTCTTGTGGTTACGGCTGCTTTTGGCGCCCCTAGGTTAACTGGATTTCTTCAGCAGGGCCTTGCAGCTGGTGTGGCATGTATGTTCGGGAGGACGTTGTGCAAGCTACGGGGCTCAGGCGGCAGAACGGTGAGCGCCAGCAGGGGTCCGGGCCCTATATATACGCGGGCGTGGGGAAGTTGGTATCCAGGATTGGAGGGGGCTGGGCGGCACGGGGTGAAGGCGTGGCGGCCCATGCATGCCGGACCTGCCGTGAGTCCTGCCGAACCTCAGGGCTCGCATCAACGCACGCAGAGGCTATACACCGGGCCTGGCACCTGTCCGCAGCGGGGCCTCACGGATCTGCATGCATACGAAGGTTCTGCCGATGGGATTGCCTGCCCATCTTGGCCTCTTAGCCTCTGGCAGCGATTTTCGGTCCTGGGCGACCTCTCACGCCGCAGCTAAGCCTAACAAGCACAGCAGATCCATCAATTCCATTGTCCTCTCTCTACTCTTTCCGTGCGTGCCGTATGGTGCTCCGTATGTCTGCTTCCTTGCTGTCGGGCTCTACGCAGGTGGCGGCTTTTTGGACCCCTGTCTGCGGTACTTCCAGCTGTCCAAGACTCGGCTGCTGGCCGCCAAGGATGTCGACGTGACCTGGCTCAATGATACTTACCTGACACGGGTCCCCGACCCGGCGCCATCGAACATGGCGACAGCAGGGTCGCGAGGTTCCGCCTCAGCTGCGGCTGCCGCGGTGCCCAGGGAGGTCGTCAGGCTTAGCCACGTCTGCTGGCTGGAGCTGAAGAGCGATTTTAGAGGTAGGAGTATGTGTGTTGCAGTGTGCGTCAGGAGGAGATTCAAAAGAAAGGAAGATGTAATAAGGACCTGGATCGGCTGCTATTCGGATAGGAACGATGAGGAGATTATTTCGTTTTGCGTAACTCAGGGTGAGCGATGCGAGGGGGCCCCCGGCATTTGACATGGTATAATGAGACAATTAGCTGCTTTGAGGCAACCTGCTCGCAACGTAGGGCCGGCGGGTTCTGTTGCTACCTGGGTTTGCAGGGACCGGTTGCGGCTTCTGATGAGGGAGATGTGTGTGTGTGTGTCGTGTGTGTTTCGTGTTCCGCCTTGAGTTTCGTTATTCTCCGAAGGTCTAACGAAATGTGTGTACCCAACTTGCACCGTGCCGCAGGTGTCGGGCCCGGTCGGTACCGCTGCGTGTGGGTCCTATGGGTGGACCAAGACTGCAACGCGTCCGAGATCAATTTTCAGATCACGCTGGCTGCGGCCCGGCGGCTGGGCAGAGGCCTGGGCCCCAGCACGGAAATAACCTGGGAAGCTCCTCCGGCTGACGCTGCTGCTGCTGGTGGTGGTGGCGGTGGTGGTGCAGCTGCTGCCGCGGGGCCTTCAGCGGCCAGAGGCAACGAGGCAGGGGTTGCAACTGTCCATGGTGGCCGTGGTGGCGTTCCCGGGCGAGGTGAGGAGTTGGACAACGTGGTGGTCGGTAATGCGCACCTGCTGCGGAACGCGGGGTCGAGCTGGCACCATCAGGATGTGGGCCGCTTTGAGGTTCCGGCTGGCCTTGTGTACGATGTCACGGTGAGGCTGTGGAACCATGATTCCATGTGGAAGAGGGGCCTTATGTTTAAGGAGATATTGCTTATAGAATGTCAGTAGCTAGGATAACACGGAGCTGCTGCACAAGGTGTTGGGTGCTGTGTGTACCCCAAGCGAGGTTACCGGTCGGCGTCGGGATTCGAACAGGTGACGGGAAGTGGCAGGTGGTGCAGGTTTGCCGGTGGCATACGTGCTTGCTGCCCTCGTGGATCGCCCGCAAAGCTGTGTGTATGTGGTAGAGCAGAGGTCGCAGGCGGGAGTAGGATGGGTGTATAATAGCTGTGGTGGGATGACTGGAGTAGGGTAGCTGTGATGGGGTGGAGGTAGGTATGAGATTGATGCACCGGTCGAATTAAAAGGTGCACGTGTAGGTCGAAGCCCCTTGTCCTCCAAGCTGGGAAGTTGGTGGGACGGCAGTGGATGGCGCTCTAGGACTCGTAGCGGTTGGTACCACTAGCTAATAACCCAGGGCCCGAGGATATGGTATATGATTCTTCTGGAGCCGCGACTGTCACCTGTACAATATGTTGTGTTATGGTATGTGTTATTTGCTGCGTGGTTGCATGTTGCCATGTGTATAGATTTGCAAGGCTATGTGATGTACATATCCATACGAAGTCGTCCGTGCAGTGGCTGCACAGTGCACGTGCTTCGCGAACGGGCATGTGGAGGAGAAGACTATCACGGTCCGTGTGCAATGGGTGTTGCATGGCCATCCAGGCAAGCCAGGCGCGTAGGAATACTTGTGTCTCGTGTATGAGAATTATCGTCGGGTCCGGGCGCAGGATATGCTTGCGTTGTCATATCCTTTGCACGGGCGCTTGGCGCTGCAGTGTTCGCTGCGGCCTAGCCTGCACATATAAGTGCTTAGGGTTTGAGGTCACCGTAAAACGGTCCAGTTCGCCAATTCAAGGGAAGTCACTGGACTGCTACAACAACTCGCGAATGGGAGGTTTGTTTTTCCTATCATGTAATATAACAGTAAGGATGACTCCGAATTCTTGCCTCCAAACCTAGCCCAGGACAAATCCTCTGCGAAGGCGGCGCAAGTAAGGGCCCAAAAGGAGGGTGGGAATGAGCATCAGGTTTGGCGACGATTCTGTCGCAAAACTGGGCTGTGGAGATGCTCTTTGCGAACTAGGTTGGATGTAGGGTTGCTTGCGAAACCATTGGTTAACCTTGTGTGAGGAAAGAATAGCCTTACGGGGACCTCCACAGTTAGCAAGAACCCGCAGCATGCCGAGTAAGAGTCGACGAGCACAAGATTGTGCGGCCACGACTCCCCTTAAGATGGCATCCCCAGCCGCCTCTCCTACCCTCCTCTGTCCCAACCAACCAACCGCCGCTTAATAGCTTAATTTAGTCCCCCGCCCTGTTGACAATGCACTGCTGGTCGATTTGCTGCCATGCGTGTACAACGCCGTGACATTAAGGTCCCGTAGGGTTGCCAGCCATTTCACGGCAGCTGGTCGGGCTGCGGACCGCGAGGGAGTGCATGCTGCCCCGAGGCCCGGAGTCAGCGGGTGAGGTGCTTAACGATAATAATTTTGCACCGGGATGTGTTATGATGTGGTTGCCTTTCATTGGCTTTTGTCCCGTGGGGATTAACTCAATAGACATCAGATGTGTAAAATACAAGCGGTACCTGCACTGCGACTGTACAAATCCACCGTAATAACCTGTGCAAAGCGTCTCTCTTAGACCTACGCTGCAAATTAATGCAAGGGCACATAATTCCACTATGCATGTTTATGTTCCTTTCATTTCAAATCGACGTGCTGGATTCAAAATTTCCATCTGTGCATCACGGTTATGCCAAGGAACTATGTCTATCACGCACAACTCTCTTTGTAACAAGGTGTTTGACTGATATGGTGATAACTGTTTATAACTTTTATCCGAGGAAGGATATGTACCCAGCTATGTACCCAGCATTCGACTGAGCTTCAAGCTGCACTATTCTATGCTCCTTTAATACGGCTGACGCAGAAGTAAGAGCTGTTATTAGCGCACCTTGAAGTTTACAGTGCTGACAAAGTTCCATTCCTCCAATCTTGGAATACCCTCACCTGACAGTGTGGCTTCTCCCCGCGTGGATCTGGGCAGTAATTGTTGGACTTGGAGGCTATCTGTTCTTCCCAAGGCCACGACGCGTATCTGTTGGCGGAGGCCGCCCAACTCACCACAGGCATCGTGCTGGAACTGCCCCAGCAGGCCATGCGAAACAGCCAGGGGCAAGCGTTTTTGTTAAGCGGCAGGAGGCTGAATCTGCAGACGCAGCATTTCATGACGCGGGCTGTAGCTGCATCTCAGAAAAGTCCGTGAACTGCGCACCAGAAGAGACAGGGGCGCCAACACCTTGTTCGCAGCGGCAGGCACTACGTTCGAGGGTCGTGTCAAAGTGTGCAGCCACAAGGACACCTGTACCTGTACGTACAGCCCTTTCAGATGTCAGCAATCACCGTGACATAAGCATACCCACACCAGCATCAGCTGCTGCATCGGTTGCTAGCCATTCGCCTCCACGGGAATATACTCCATCCGAGGCTCCTGTGCCTAACAAATGTCGCTACATAGTCAACGCGGAAAAGAAGGTACGCAGGTTCTCCCGGATATGTGCACACGAAGTTGGCCCGCATGGGTCAACTGTCCTGTCGAGCCCTGCACCCGCCCTTTCCCGGCTGGGTTCAGGTTGTCGGGTTTGCAAATACTGGGGCCCGTTACAAAGAGGACAAACCGCTCCCAATCCACGACACCCCCTATCTTCTCCGTCTAGAGAGGGAGCTGCAGGAGGCAGTCGAGCTGCAGGTGAGCCCATAGGCGCATGAGGCATTGGCAGCGTCATCGCTTTTACTTCATATGGATACGGCGTCTGTCACAGGAACGCCTGGCGAACGAGGTGGTTACTCCCTAGCGAGACTTAACGAGGCAACCCATACGCCAGTCCATGGGAGTACGCTGGCCAAGTTCTTGTATTATCAGCAGCAATCAGATGTCCTTGTCGGCTGCTGTGTTTCATCGTGATGGAAATACCACGACGTCTGCTTTGTTAATTTTTTGCGTCGGCTGCTGGAATGCGAAGTTGCGATGGCAGGCCGAAAGGCAGGAGGGACGTGCACCATGCGTGCAGGATTTAAGACATGGTCTGCGAGCTACGTGTGATGGAACAATCATCGGGCTTGCATGTTAGTGTAGTCGTCGGTATACACTCTGCCGTGCTGCAGCTGGATGGGGGTGTCGAGGACTGTGCATCGGTCAAGTTACGTTTTAGATATTAATGTTTGTTTTAGGGTAAAAGTTTCTGCCACTTGTTTACGTACAGAAATTCGATGTATGATTCAGATAATGCAGTAGAAACAAGCGTAATCTGACTCTGTACTACACTGCATTACAACTTTAGTAATTTAAAACGGCATCCGTGACTATATGTCGCAACAGTGACACAAACCCGTTCTTTCCCGGTACAGTCTCGCACGCGTCTCGCACCGGGTAATGAAGGAACGTGTTCTATTGCACGACATTTCCAAACGCAAGACAGGGGGTTCTAGACTAAAGAGACATATCGCGCTATCGTGACAAGCAAAGAAAATAAATATTTAACGACTGCTGGTCGGGCATGACAAGGACCGCAAACGAACAAAATGTTTGCTTGCCCACGGCACGTACCCAAATCATAAACCGAACGACCAGAGTGCCAACCGATGGCAGGGCGCCACCTAGCGCATCCTCTCCCGCCGCGTCCTCAACCACCATGGCAACATCGCGCAGCACCCCTCATTTTACCATCTTTATCTAAGCGTTCTGAATTACGTCCGCAATGGCCTCTGCCAGATAGGGCGCGGTTGCCGCTGACAATCCCGCCATCGAAATCCTGCCGTCCAGAGTGAGGTGCACGTGCCACTTGCTGACCAGCTGCTCGCACTGGTGCCGCGTCATCCCTAATGTGGCGCAGGCAGTCCAGGAGCAGCAGGCAGAGATATGATGTATACCGCATTTAAGTTCAAGGTGAAAATTCCATTGATTTCATAGTTGCGCACAAACTGCGCTGTCTCCAAAATACCCGAAAACACAATATATCGAAATAAACGCCACGTACATCGCGATGTTTATTATTTGGAATATGCATACCCTACTTAGGGTGCTGTCACAAGTCACATACCCAGATATTGCCACCGCGTCCTCCCCACCGACGGTGGGTCAGCCCCGCTTGTAGGCCACCGTTATGCGCTCGCACGTTTCCAGTGCCGATTTCCTTTACTTCCACTATTCCCGATACCACAGCTTCCCCCCAACGTGCTCCAAGAGTTGAAACCACACACGTACCTGTAAAGCTGAACATGCCAATCTGCTTCAGCACAAAGCTCCAATCCCCCGGCACGTTGCGAGCCACCAGTTGGTCGTACAGCACCTGGCGCATGGACTTGATACGCTCGGCCATGCCGCGAAGCTCCTCCTGCAGGACATCAGTTCATTGGCGATGAGTCATCCGTCTTTACCTTTGCCATCTCCATTTCTCACACGACTACCTCTCCTCTCCCTGAATTACACAGATCAGCACGATTCCGGATTATTGTTCCAGATAATTACACAGCACGAATCCGGATCAGTAGCCCAATTCCGCGCACAGGTGGAACGCTGGCGCACCTTCCACAGCGCGTTCAGCTTGGGATCGCCCATGACGCGTGCGGCAATGGCAGCTCCGTGCATTGGTGGGTTGGAGTACATGGGCCGCACGACGAGCTTGAGCTGCGACTCCACTCGAGTGGCAACTTCCTTTGTCCTGAGCGGACATGAAAAGCAAAAAAATAGGCAAGGAAAACGACGTGCAGCAGGTGAGAGGTATGTAACTTTCCGTAGGTGGATTTGCGTTTGGCAATATCAGGCCTGCAAACCGGTCATTTGGTGGTAAAGCGCATCACCGTCAGGTCCCTGACCATTTCCAAAACAGCACTCAGCCAGACGAAATACAAATTGGGGCAAGGGCAGCGACGCGTCCACAGCGCTGGAAATCCTTTTCCTCCCTTCAACTGGCAAATCCACCCGGAGCAGTAAACCTGCTGACGCAAACCCCTCCGCCTTATGCAGCCCTCCGCCTATTCCCACGACCGCGGGAATTACTCACTTGCTCACGACGCTGAGAGCGCCGGCGCGCTCGCCGTACAACCCCATGTTTTTGGCGAACGACTGAGCCAGCACCAGCTCCAGACCTGCCTCCAGGAACAGCCGAACAGATGCCGCATCCGCATCCAGATCACCGCTGGCGAAACCCTACACACATGTCGAGGGTTGTAGGTGAATACGGGCACACAAATCGCGGCTCTGCCCATCAGCTCACACATACGCATATGCGTACCGATAACCGGGCTAATAGCTGTTCTGTGTAAATGCACAACAAGCCCATGCGGCCCGAGGTTAACCTGCGCTTTCATGATAGTTCCAACATCCATCCCCCCATCCAGCCAATCTCTCAACCCGGCGGCTCTCACCTGGTACGCCATGTCAAAGAAGGGCACGAGTCCTCCCGACCGTGCCACCTCCAGCAGCCGAGACCACTGCTCCGGGGAGGGATCTACACCCGTGGGGTTGTGTGCACACGCGTGTAGTAGTAGCACCGAGCCGGGAGGCGCCGCCGACACATCCGCCACCATACCCGCGAAGTTCAGACCGCGAGTGGCCGCGTCGAAGTAGCGATATTCGCGAACCTGCATGCACAGTCCACAGTTGAGGGGGGTTGGTTGCTGATGATTCGGTTCTGGAGGTAATGGCGGAGGCGTTGTTAGTTACAAGGAAATAATAAACGTTTGACGATTTAGAACGCGAGCAAAGGAAAGCGGTGCGGGGCAGGCAGGTCTGGTGCACCTGCACGTGTATAGGGGAGGCGTGACTCATTCCGTAGCCCCATCCGACCTCGCTCTAACCCCAAGACAGCGTGGAGAGACGTACCAGGCACCCCCGCTGCCCCCAAACGTTGATCATAAGACCAAGCCTGCCTACCACCCACCACCCAGCCCACTCCATCCCCCGCCCACCTGGAATCCCGCCTTGGCGAAGATGCTCTTGTGGTTGCCCCAGGTGGGATTGGGCAGATACACGATGCGCGGTATGGAGGCGGGCAAGTGCATCGACAAAAACTCAGCACCAACTCGGAGCGCGCCGGTGCCTGCGCTTGCGGGTGCGCGTGCGCGGGGTCGGGTGGGGTGAAAGGTTACGTTGGATTATGTGTTTAAACACACGTGCATGTGTGTGGAGCAATGGGCAGGGAAAGGAAACTGGACACAGATTTCTTGCTTGCAGCGATACCCGGTGTGACTACTGTATGGCCCGCTGTCGCAACCTTTTATCATCCCATCAATGTGGTGATAAAAGGTGCTGTATCCACCTTAACCCAGCCCCGCTCCCCACCGTTCATCTCACACCGTACACCCACCCACGGACTCACCCGCCCACGGACTCCTCCAGCCACGCACGACCAGCGTTTTTCAAGTAATACTTAGTATTTTCAATCATAGGGTAGATATGAGGGGCCGTAAGAAGGTCAAGCCCGTGAGTCAACGCGGCATAGCAGAATGTATGACCGGTCCTCATATAGCCAAACACGCAAAAGGCAACGACTCGAACAGACACCAAAACAGCAAGATAAGCCTGAAAATTTTCCTGATAAAAGGTGTTTGGGATGGCGGTGCTGTTGTCGGTAATGCATCGGCAATGGTTTTGCTGCCAGCGGCGAAGAGTGCGGACATGAACGAAAACGCGCCAACTCAGTGCGTGACTCTTGGTTTATGAGGGGTGTTGTAACTTATGGGGGGGGGGGTCTGGGGGGGAAAGACGAACCACAAACGAGTGAAGCTGCTGCCAGGGCAAGAGTGTACCAGACGTAGAACTGACCGAAAGGCGTCCGTGAAGACAGCGACCTCGGGATGTCGTAGTGAAGCTGATGTCGGAAAAACTACCTACCTAAGCCGCCAGGACTAAAAATGCAGAGAAAGCAGTAATGCCAAGCCGTAAAGAAGTAGGTGTAGAAAGGGTCTGGAGGGGGCGGAGCCCACCCCAGCGCCTCACACTTAAGGAATAAATTACGACAACCCTAGCAACTTTGTTACTTAGGTTGGAATAAATTAAGACCCGCCCTAAATGAAAAAAATCACTGCGCACGACCCGACAGCGCATTCACACCCACCACCAGCTCACTCAGCCCTTCAGCCCCACACCCGCAATGCACCGCAACACACCCACCCGACAAGGCCTGCACGGTGGCCACTCGGTTCTGCTGGATGGCGGAGCTGCCAGGCCCGAGGGCCAGAGTGCGGGCCAGTCGGTTGAACTCAGGGTTGCCGGAGATTGGAAGGTACTCCTGTATGATGTGTGGGACAGGGGGCCATATCTTCACCCGTGGCCGCTACCTGACGTAACCCTGCCTTCCTCGGTATTTCGGGGCACCCTCATCCAGTCACCCTAGCCGACTTCTCAGTGGATCGCTCAGGTTCCGCACCCACCACCGGCATCCAACGGAATCTACCGGATCGACGGCGGCTCAACTCCATTCCTGGTCAGCTCACAAGTCAACTTTATCCCAGGTCACCACCGTCCATCGACTAGGGGCACTATATTACCTTCCACCATCGGAAGGTTTTTCGACCCTAACAGGTCTCGATCCCGGGATCTCCCGGGGGCATTGGTGCGTGCTCTACCAGTAGTGATTGTATGATTCACCCGGGGCGAATCTGGGTTCAGTCGTCGTCACGGTTCAGCCTCTCTCGCCAGTTTGACTTTTTGACAGCTCTGCCATCCTCGCGCGCGGATCTGGGTGGATCTGAATCTAGTCCTGGATTATGCCACGCATAGATCATCCACCACTACTGTACGTACCTTGTTCATGGCAGGGTCGGCAAGGATCTGCTGCTCCGCTTCTCGTACGGCTTTCAGGACGTACGGCTTGCCCTCCTGCGTGTGCACGTGTAGCGGCGGCGGCCGTCACGGCACCAAGCGGATGGGCGACTGGGATTGATTAAAACCATCGATCAAACCATCGATCATGTTGCAAACCAACATGTTAAAGAATAAGAAGTTTTGAGCAAAGTAACTTTGCATATCCCAGAAACGCCAAGCAAACGCGCGTCGTTTGTCATAATGTTTTTCGAACGGTTTTTGGACCTCGTCGGCCTGACGGCCCGCACGCCTGGAATTTCCTAGTCCAAATAAAGAAAGACTAGTTCAACATGTAGCTTTGAAAGGCATCCAATCAGGGATTCAAATATCAAGCAAGGAAACTCATGGCGGAAACGTTAAGACTGACCTCCGTTCGGTAGGCTCCCACGCCAAGGTTAAGTTTTCGGGGGTCGGGGTCGGCGCGCCAAGCATCTGTGACACCGATAATGGGATCTGGGGGTGCCTGAAGGTAACACGGTGCAGCCCCGAGGCATATTCAAAAGGTAGTGACACGCGAAAGCTGCAACAGGTGCCGAGGCACGTGATCGAATTACGCAAACATCCAAACGCAAACTCCAATAACCAATGTGCGTTTATTAAGAATTCACCGTCAAGGCATCCAAAAGATTGACTGCATGTGGGAGCTAGCAACTGGCCGATGAAGTAGGCAGGCTTGACAACAATAAGCAGGGACACGCAACAGTAGCAGAGTACACAAAATTTCATCCAAAGTTTGGCTCACAGGGTGTATTTTCGACGCGCAGGTGGTTACTATCGTTATCTCAAAATTCCGACTAGACAACCGTCACGTATGCAGCTCCAAGGACGTAGACCAAGTGCCCAGGCTTACACAAGTTGCATAACCTTAACAGCCTGTTGTCACAAAACCGATGCAGCCGATGCTCGTTTATGTGCCACACAGGGAAATGCCACAATTCCGACACAGGCCGATATCGACATCCAAATACAACGCAGCTTAGGCACTTCTTGCCTGCTGGACATGCTCCCAGTTACTCTCAGTCGATTGACCTGCACACAACTGCCTTGTCAGCACTTCCATGCGGTCTGCAGCGAGGGGAGAGCGGTTAGCAACCGACACTCCAGGTTGTCTACAGCACGCCCGCGTGATTGCCTTCTTACCTTCAGGGCTCATGATTCTGCGCGAGGTAGGGAATTACGGAACGAAAACGAAGATAGCAGCTCCTTTTCGAGAGCGATAGTGAGGGCGATGTTGCACGCCTACTTTTGCTACTGAGAAAGGACCTTCACACTTTGACATGTCCACTTGGCAGCGTTTCGGCTTTTAGCTGACCAAGCCACGAGGAGTGTACGGAATGCCTGACGTACAACCGTTAGCCGAGTTGACCCTAGTGCGACTGGTTCATTGTACCATACGTGATACCGGTCTCTTGGTAATCAATTGAATATATGAGTACGACACCTGCCTATCTGGATTGATTGAAAAAATGCAGGAGTATGGGCCGGCTCCTATTAGCCAGTTAGCGTGGATTCTAAGATAACTGAGATGCTAAAAGTCGGGCACAATACTGAATTATGCAAAGTAAGCAAACTTAGATGTCATTTAGGTAAAAGCAAATTGTGATAAACTCGATGCTTTACTCAGTTTGTTTCGGTGCACGGTGAACTTACCGCCTGAGACACCTGAGGGGGTAAGCTCGCGAAATATAATTATTTTCTTTAACAGTTCAGAGTAATATCCCATACGAGATGTTGCGTTTTCCGCTTCGGTTAGCTGCGCAATTGCAACGCATGCAAAGAAAGTGACTGCCATGGCCATTTCAGTCCATGTTCCGTCCATATTCAAATCAACCTATGTATTCTTGTAGTTTATACCGGATCCTTGTATTATGATAACGAAGCAAACAAGCAAGAGAAATTGCCGTACGATTGCCGCTGGCATAGCATAGAAGCATGCGATGGTTAGCCAAAGTTTAGTAGGGTGAAACGCCAGCTGTCTTAACCTAACTAGAGGCCGCTATGGCTAATGGAAGCCGGCCCTATCGCTGCTACTAAAGTGATCACCATACTTATGGTCCATGTTAGGCAACCATTTATTTGTCTAGTTCACATCACATCTATCCTTGAGATCTTGTGACCACACCACGAAAGACGCCGCTTGTCGCCTACATTTCGACAACGCCTCCCGAGCAAACCCTTCTGCGTGGCTAGGGGGCACAGTTTCTTGCCCACATGGCAGATAACGGATTCGAACGCACCAAGGTTGGCCGGGCGCTCCGGAGGTCTTGGCGGTGGGCGTTTCTCGGACTAGCCCCACACCTTGCCTTATCTCACCGGCCATTCTTGAAGCCCCCGACAACACCCCTTCCTTCCCATTCCCGCATTACATTCCCCCGTCTGAGGCATCTCTTCCGGCTGTGCGATGCAGGTTGGTGTCCTTGGAGGCGGCTCCTGGGGCACAGCACTGGTGAGAAACCCCTGCCCCAGCCCCCGAGCTTCCTTTTCGTCCCCAGTGCCTCTGCCGTCCTCTGCTGTCTTGCGTGCGCGGATGTTGCTTTGTGGCCTCCAGCTCATATTGACTGGGAGGGGTCCGGGGTCTACAGCTTTAATCCTGAACCGCCTAATCCTAAGAACTAAGAATCCTGATTAAGGATCTCCTGACATGGACCCTGCCATCCCAGCTTCCCCCTGCCCAAAACACATGCCCAACCTCGCCTTCTGCCAATCCTTCAAATCCGGCCGACGCCCACACATCACTGCGGCTTGCATTGTTCTCCCTCCCGCATTCGCACCGCCGGTCCGGAGCCCGCTGGGCCTGACGCCGGGGACGACCATGCCGCCATGCCGGCCCCCTGGCCCCCGGGGGCACTCCCGCACGGTCTAACCCCCACCCCACCCCACCCCACCCCACCCCGGTGGTGTACTCCGGTTCCGTTTCTCGTGTCTCTGTATTTGTATTCCTGCTATCCTGCATCTGTGGCCTAGACTAGACCAACACAGGCCCAGTCCATTAGCTCCTCAGCGGCTCTGTCCTCAGCCAAAGGTTAACACACATGGCACCCTCCGCCCTCACACTCGTACACACGCGCGCATCCCCACACCGATTTCTCCCACCCCCAATCTCCCCCCACCTCCCCCCCGGGCGCGGCGGTAGGCCATCCACTGCGCCCGTCTGGGTCACGACACCGTGTTGTGGGCCCGTGGGGCGGCCACCGTGGACTCCATCAACCTGCGCCACGAGAACCCGCAGTACCTCCCCGGCTTCCCCTGCCCCCCTGCCCTGACCGCCTCATGCGACCTGGAGGGGGTCATCAAGCGGAGCGAGCTGATGCTGATGGTCGTACCCACGCAGTACATTGTGGCCACACTGGGTAGGGGGGGGAAAGGGGGGGAAAGGGTTGTGGGGAGAGAGGGGGAAGAGGGGAAAGGGGGGGAAAGGGTTGTGGGGAGAAGAAGGGGGGGGAGAGGGGGAGGCGAGGGGAGGGTTGGGGCGGATGAGGGTTCGAGTTAGGGTTCCTCTCAGTTCCTGTCGGACAAACGCCCTCCGCCAGATTAGCAGCGTCCTTCCGTTTTATGGATCACCATCATCATACCACCATCATCAAACCATCGTCAAACCATACCGGCAACGCGTCCTCTTCCCTCTCTCCTTTCCTCTTGTCTATCTGTCTGTCCGTCTGTCTGTCAGGGGAGGCAGCCCGAGCACTCCGACCCCACCAGGTGAAGGGGGTGGGGTGAAAGCAGTGTTTTTCTTTTCAATTTTGCCGGTGAATTTTCCAGTCCGAACGGAGGAATAGGTTTTTAGTCGCGGGAATAAAAGTATTCCGAATCTGTAAGGCGCTTGGGGGGGCTCCGCCCCCCCCAGAACCCCCCCGATGAGTTACAGTTTACTTCGTGCAAACGCCGTGGGGAATGCCGCAACACGCGCACACCACAATCTCTCAAACACTGATCGAATAGAGTTCGTTCACCATCGTTCGTCTTGCATCATGTTGAAAGATAACACTATACGACTTTCCGGGTTGCAGAAGTAATGATGCATAGCAGCAATGGACCGGAACCACCAAGCGCAGCCTGTTTCCTGGACCATCGCGATTGTCTCCATATGACGAACGTTGATGTTTGGCCCGCTCGCTGTTGACAACCGGAGTGGCGTCATTGTCGTCGGCTGGCTGCAGCATTGCGCCCACATTCCCTACGACCTCTATACCGTCTTCATTAAGGTCGCTAATGGCTTCAGTGAAATTTTATATCTGCTTTAATGACCTAACACGCTTTGGGAGCTTCGGGTCAATGTTTTGCAGCGTTTGGTCCGGTCAGAAACAGTCCGATTCCTCGTTGACTTTCGGGCGTGAGCTTCCTAGCAGTATCCATGGCATTAAAGTACTATGATATGGTTAACATGTATGTCTCCTACAAGATTCTAGCGGGTTTGGCATGGACAGTCCATTTTTGGCTGGAGGAATGAACTTGCACGGTCGGAACATTATTTATTCTTAACTTTCAGAACCATGAACATTTTTTATTCCGAATTCGGAATATATTCCGCAAAAAAAACGCTGGGTGAAAGGTTGGCTGGGGCTGTTGCTGGGGCTGATGGACTTGTAGCAGGGGTGTTAGGGGTGAGGGTGAGGCAAGGGGATGATCGTAATGGTGATCCGGACATAAATCGTCATAAATGATACCCAGAAACAACCCCCAAAACCCCCAAACAGATTCTCGTGAGCTGCTCCAAGGGTATTTCCTTGTCCTCGCTGGAGACGGTGGACGAGCTGCTGCAGGGAGTAGTGCCGTACGAGTTCCGGAGCCGACTGGCCTACTTGTCTGGACCCTCCTTTGCGGCGGAGGTGGCGACGGGGCAGCCCACGGCAGTTACGGTGGCAGCGAAGGCAAGGAAAAGGGGGGGAGGAGAGAGAGGGCCCGTGAGGGGGGAGAAGGCGTAATGGCACGCGCGCGCGCGTGTGTGTGTGTGTAGGGGAAGGCCCCGGGTAATGGGGAGAGAACGGGGGGCGGAGGTGATAAACAACGCGAGATTGGCCTCGTGCGTGTGTATTCTGTGGGCCATGGGGCCCCCGGAGAAAGCAGCTCATCAGAAACCATTGAGGCGGTGGGCGTTAAGGAGTTCCTAATCCCTCTTTCCCCCCGTTTCCCCCGTCCCTCTTTCCCTGACATATACACGTACCTACATACATACACACACGCACGCACGCAGGACGACCAGTTGGCTGCCCGGGTCCAGTCTCTGTTATCCAGCCCGCGGTTCAGGTGCTACCGCAGCACGGACGTTGTGGGGGTGGAGATGGCGGGGGCGCTCAAGAACGTGCTGGCCATCGCGTGCGGCATTTCCGACGGACTGGGTTTCGGAAACAACGCCAGAGCGGCGCTCATCACCCGGGGTGAGGGAGGGAGGGAGGGAGGGAAAGAGGGAGGGAGGGAAAGAGGGAGGGAGGGAAAGGGGGAAAGAGGGCGGGAGGGAGGGAAAGGGGTGGAGATGGCGGAGGTTTGTCGTGTGCGCCGCTGCTCAACACACATACATACACACATACACACATACACACACATACACACACACGCACACACATACACACACATACACACACATACACACACACGCACATTAGATGCATACACCGTGGACGCCAAGGTGAGATGCCTCATCGCCGCACTCCCTGTTATTTCCCATTCCAGCCACAACCAGCCATCGAGGTCGTAGTAATACCTCCGGTGCCATGTGCGCCTGGATGCCACGAGATCCCCCCTCCTGTACCCCCTCCTCCTGGCCTCGGTAATCCCCCCTACCCCCTACCCCCTACCTGGGGGCCCCCCAGGTCTGTACGAGATTACGAAGCTGGCCGTGGCCCGGGGGGGTAACCCACTGACCATGTCGGGGCTGGCGGGTATGGGAGACGTAGTGCTGACGTGCACAGGTGCGTGTATGTATGTATGTATGTATGTGGGGGCCCCACCGATGGGTGTAGGTGTGATTTAGTAGTTAGTAAATGTCGCGAAGAACGCCTCGTTGGGGTTGGGTGGGTGAGTGGGTGAGTGGGTGATGAGGCGGCGGCGGAGCGCGCGCTGGGAGTGTCGGGTGTTTCTTAGATTCCGTGAACGGACACCATTCCGTACTGATATTGCAGTACTGGTTGCCAAATGCCGTACCACTCACTCTAAAGGAGAAAGGGATTCGGACCCGGGTCCACAAAATTAAACTCCACCATCACACTCATCACACACACACACATTTCAAACGCCTTCCCGCGGCCATGACTGCTCTTCCCCCCCTCTCTCTGGACCTTGGACCCCGGCACCTCATTTCTGAATTATTCTTCCTCGCCTGGTGATGATTCCCCTCCCCCTGGTGGGCCCTACGGTGCCCGTAAATGGTGATGTGGGCCTTATGTCCAGGTGACCTGAGCCGTAACCGCACTGTGGGGCTACGACTGGGTCGGGGCGAGCGATTGCGGGACATCCAGGTGCGTCCGGGTGGGGGGGGTAAGAAAGACGAACCACACACGATTGATGCTGCTGCCAGGGCGGGTGGGGGGGGTGTTGGGGTTTGGGGTGGGTGGGGAGGGAAATGGAGTTGAGGGGTTGGGAGTTTTGGTTTTTTTCCTTAATGGTAGTGGGGGAGTGGGTTAATTTTAAGGGTGGATATGGCATACTGGATTTCGCTCCATGGCCTGGTAGTTATGCAGCCCTCTCGTCCGCCATGCTCTCGTCTCGCGGCAGTTGCTGATGTCGGCTGCTGACTCTTTAGTTCACATCTTTGCATCACGTCTTCGCAGTTCAACCCATCCCACCCCACCCCTCCCCACCCCTCCCAAACCCCTCACCAAGCGAAGGCCTCCATGGGCGGTGCGGTGGCCGAGGGGGTGCCGACCGCAGTGGCCATCCGTACACTGGCTCGCAAGCTCGGAGTGGAGTGCCCCATCATGGAGGGAATACATCGGGTCATACACGGTAGGTTTGTACGGAAGAGGGTACGGCAGAGTGTCGTATGATGTACGAGCTAGCTCAGTTGATCAGTGGTCTCACGGCCCCTTGTGTCTGCAGAGACTGTGTGTGTGTGTGTGTGTGTGTACACATTCGCACACGCGCATATCCATACACACACACTTCCACATACATGTATACATGCATAGCATGCATATATATACATGCTTACTTATGGCAGGTGGCTGGCACAAGTTAAGGCCTAACTTCTGTTCCCGGAGGTTCCGGGTTCAAATCTGCCTGCCGACCTCTCGGTGTGTGAGGGGTGTTGAACTGGGAGGTGGGCCCCCATCTTGTGGACGGTGTAGGACGTGATTACATCAACTTGTGAGCTGACCAGGAACTAAGTTGAGGCGCCGTTGATCCGCTAGATTTGGTTGGATGCTGGTGGTGAGTTGCGGAACCCAACGAATACATTCTGAAATCGGATGGGGTGAATGGATTAGGGTGCCCCTCTCGCAGGTGAGAGCAGGGACTGCCCCGGGAAAGGGGGCCGTTGGTGAAGCTATACCACCCTGTAACAATATCATACATACATACATACATACATACATACATACATACATACATACATACATACATACATACATACATACATACATACATACATACGTACATACATACATACCACGGGATGCGACCACCCGTGTGCATCTCCCCCCTCCTCCCCGGCCCCCCAGAGGGTGCAAACGCCCAGGAGGTGGTGACTGAGGTGATGAGTCGGGAGCTCAAGCCCGAGGTGGCGCCGGACATCATCCGGGGGGTGCTCACAAACAACGGAGGAACCAACAGCAACCACCACAACCACCTCTTGGAGGTGCGGGGGGAGGCGGAGGTGGCGGTTGACGCGGCCAGCGGCAGCGGGAGCACGTTCAACATCCTGAGGGCTGGCACGGGGGAGGGGAAGGGGAAGGGGAAGGAAGCGGAGGGGGGGGAGAGTGGTGGGGTGGTGACGGTGAAGGGGCCGTTGGCGGCCTCGGCCTCGGCGGCTGTGGCGGCAGTGGCAGCTGCTTCTGGGGCGGCGGCGGCGGTTGCGGTGGTGGGATTGGTGTCTTTGTGCCGGCGGCGGGGATGACGACTGGATAAACGGGAAGGTCGGGTCCTCCTGGTTTGGAGCATTAGTTCAACCTGGTGGAGGTGGGGAGGGCATGGGGCATGGGACCGACCCATGGGTCGGGAGTACAGGACTCAGGACCCACCCTCCTGCGCGCTGCCCGGCCAACCAAGTGTCCGGCCCGGTCAGGTACGGTCGGCTGCTAGGTAGCTGCCAGGTAGCGGTACTGATGTACGTAGGATTTTGGATGCAGGGTTACGCTCGTTCACGGTTTGAAGCAGGAGTAGAAGCAGCAGAAGCAGCAGTTTGCTGGTGGCAGTGATGAGTATGAGTATGATGAGGATGATGAAGGTGAAGGTGAGGATGATGGTCACCAGGCATGTATGATGTGTGGGACAGGGGGGTCATATCTTCACCCTCTGCGGCCGCCACCCGGCAGACCCTGCCTTCCCCGGTATTTCGGGGCACCCTAATCCAGCCACCCTAGCCAACTTCTCAGTGGATCGTTCAGGTTCCGCACCCACCACCGGCATCCAACGGAATCTGCCGGATCAACGGCGGCTCAACTCCATTCCTGGTCAGCTCGCAAGTCAAGTTTATCCCAGGTCACCACCGTCCATCGACTAGGGGCACTATATTGCCTTCCACCATCGGAAGGTTTTTCGACCCTGACAGGTCTCGATCCCGGAACCTCCGGGGGCATCAGTGTGTGCTTTAGTAGTGCCTGAACTGTGTAAGGGAGTATGGTGATAAGGGGTGGTGGTGGCAGGGGTGGTGGCGAATAATGTATTGGCGCGGGTGGTAATGCGAGCAGTGGTGTTCGTGACAGCTGTGGCAGGTGCCCTCCCCCGATGCCCCCACCTGCCGGGTACGCCCCCCCGGGGTAAGCGTGAGCCTGAAGTCCTGAAGTGGAGCTGCACCCGGCCACCCTACATGAGCCGTACGGGGGCCCTGTGTGTGTCAGGGGGGGCGGAGGGGGTCCGTGACGGTTGTAGGCTGCTCCTGACAGACAAGGACGGAAAGGATCGCACATACATCTCTTTCAAACAAATAAACATACATACATACATATGTGACTCACCGCATTTTTATCTATCTATCTATCTATCTATCTATCTATCTGTTTACCTATCTATCTAAATATGTACCTGCCTATCGAACTGAACACTGGAGATTCGCATACACAGCTAGACACCGGAAGAAAGCTATACGTGGAAGAGGCGCTCTGGAGGTGGTGGAGAGGACGGGAGGACTGTTGTGAGACGGCGAACACTGGGGGTATCTTTTCTATCTCTCCATCCTTTGCTTAAGCCATATGCGTCATGGTGTTTTGTCGAGGGGTGTCCGACTACCACAACGGTAATGTACCGGTGGCCACAACGGTATCCAACTGTCGTGGTGGCACAGCGAGTGAGGGAGTGGGCGAGTGAGCATCCTCACCCACATTCGTATCCACATTACGGTTACAAAGTTTCTGGCTCGTGATGACTGACTGTCAATGTGAGTGAGAGAGAAAGAAAGGAGGGGATGTACGGAGTGGTGGACCCGATCCCCCGAGTGGGGAAACGCCGCGTACGGATCCATCCAGTGCTGTTCCTGCTGGCCGCTTGGCGGTTGGCGGTTGGTGAATACGTTTTGGTGAATGTACGTGTGTGTACATATCTTTCCCAACGTACGTTCTCGTGCACTGCCTGAAGTGTGAAGGTGTGTGGTGCCATGCATGGTATTGTGTGGTGCGCGGTCCACATGCATGAGAGAGTGTGTCTGTGTGTGTGTGTGTCTGTGTGTGTCTGAGTGTGTGTCTGTGTGTGTCTCGATGGCCGTCGTGGAGTTCTCGCATCGTGGAGCTCGCATCCTTGCGTTGCTGAACTGTGCTGAGGAAAATCGTCGTAGGGTGGTCGCGAGGGGTACGTCGTAGGGTGGTCGCGGCCCTCGGTCGGTGGCTTCGAGTGGGTTCCCTGGAGTTGAAACACAGCGCCTATCTATCCCGAAATCTGCGCAATCTGATCAAGCTGTGATCGCGTCACCATCGTCATACTGATGATGAGGGAAAATTGGTGTTAGGATGAAAAAGCATCAGTGCGATTGCGCTCGTCGCGCACGTATGTCAGTCCATCAACAGACGGGATCGGGAATTTCTGTAACGCCGATGTGCGGTGTCTGGTGTCTTTTTGTGGCCTCCTGGGTTTGTGAGTGAGAAAATGTGTCCTCAGTTGGTCTCGAAGGGGGGAAGCGGAATGGAAAGCGCGATGGATAGGTTGGCGGATTAAGGCTGTAAGGCTGTTGTCGTACACATCGCGCACACCACGCAGATAACAGTTCTGTGTGTGTGTGCGCGTGTGCGCGTGCGTGCGTGTGCGTGCGTGTGCGTGTGCGTGTGTGTGCGTGGGGGGGAGAGTTGGTTTACAGCTCCACTACGCCGGTCACCCTAACAACTGAATGTGTAGATGGGTGGTACCTGAACCTGAACGCTAAGGTCATAGTCCCGCTGGATGGACTGTCAGTTTGTAACATCCAGAACTCGCTCAACGGGAGTCCTTTTTAGGTTGCACCGCCCCACCTTTTCCCAATTATTAGACCAGCAGCAGCAGCAGCAGCAGCAGTAGGGCATGTATGTCCATTGTTCCGGAAGGGCAATGAAGTTCATCTAGCAGCGCTTGCGCGCATCAGAAGTACAAGGCCTAGTTATGGCGTCTCTGCGGCTGCAGGTATGATGTCCGACACGTACGGCATTAGAACATGGCAAGCATCACGCACGACTTGCGGCAGACGAACGAAGCCCTGCCCTATGTAATATGTATATGGATACGGAACGGGCTATAATCCTTTTCACCTTTCGGCGGCCTTCCCGACGGCATGTTCAGTGTTCAGGACGATTATTAAGGCAGCAGCAAGTTGCCTAGCTTTGTGAGACTAATGACCAGTCCTTTGATCAGAAACAGATGATTTGACGAGAAACGGTTACCACGTGCTTAGCAGATGCAGGGATCATGTGTTTCGACTTGTTCTTTTGGAAGACATCGTAAGACCGCCGTCTGTTGGATTTCTTAAATGGTTTTTTCTTTACATTATCTTCGTATACAGGTTATTTTATGCATGAATGCGGTGTTTTTAATATTTTATCTTAATAGCTAGGGCATCGCGATTCATTCAATGGGTTGTAGTTAGGATACACCTCCGCACAGCAACCTCAATTGGTTCAACGGCGAAAAATACCATAAGTAATGTGATGTGATAATAATAAGCATCTGAAATGCCGGATTCCGTATGTGCGGGTTCAGGGCCAACAGCTAGCGAGCCTGCTAGTGATTATGAAGCTTTTCATGCATACAGTAACATACAGGTAATATGTCCATCTTAGCATAGCATGTCATGTTGAGGCTGTTATCTTCAGGTTCAGACTGGTCTGCGGCAAATGTAGCAGCACTAAACAGCACGATCAGCAGCGTTAACAACGCTTAGCGAGTTTCAACGCACACAGCCAAGAACGGATTACCGCAGGCAGTAAAAGTACTGTCAAGCCCTTCAGGGGACCTTGCTAAGCCTAAATGTGCGGAGCTGCAGATGACACAGAGAATAGGTGCACCTCCTTCATTTCAGTTCGACAATCGACACGTTTTACACTTGTGGTCCCACTGATAGCAGGTTTTACGCGAAGATGGGTTAATGGCACTACTGGAAACCGCCAGCCAACGGTTTTTCGGTGGTCGCCTGCCGTTCTGTACGACTGAAACTACTGAAACAGCGGCGGACGCAAGTCAAGGGCGATACATAAACGAGCAGTCGGGGAACTTCTGCACCACTGCGATCCCCCAATCGTCCGGGCATCGCGGGGCGGTCAACAGATAGATAAACCTTTAGTTAGCTGCAGAACCTAAACGATTTGGGACGGGATTGCATTTACGTTTGATAAAAGGCTCCATATTGTCTTATCAAACATTTCTAATCCCCTGGTAAGCTAAAGTTGAGCTGTTCATCTTGGGCGCACCGATAGACATTTGGTTTTATGTTTAGCTTGTCATGCCAACAATAGACGCTAGCACCCTTCATCCTAACAGAATTGATATTATGTATTGCGCTCTTTTCCAGAATGGCAGCGTGCACGCTCATGCACACGGCCTCAGTGCCCACCGGTCTCAACGGCGTCCCGCTTGCTCCATGCCCTGTACTATAGCCACAGGTTCCTGTAAGGATGACGGAGCGATTGGCTTTGCTCCTATCCTGCTGGCTGATGGTTATCGTGGGATGCCTACGTACGACTGCCAGCGCCGAGCGCAGTCTTCTCCAGGCTTACCTCGAGACATTTCCGCCTTACGGTAGGTCGCATCGCCCCGCTTGGATAAAATCATGGATTTTGCGTTTCCAAGGCATTGAAAAGGAACGCTGGGCTCCATACATGGGGCTGGGCATGTATGTACTTCATGCGTTGAAGTCCACACAAACGACGTGTTTAGTCGCTCGATTCATGTTGCTGCTGCTGTTGCTGTGCACAGGCTGCAACCGCGACCCGCAGCAGTCCCGCTTCCGCCTCGACCCGGTCTACACCGTCAGCGGCAACCGCGTGTGCATGACTGCCCGCGTGGTGGACTGCGCCAAGCCGGGTTCGGACTGCTGTGACCCCAAGATTGACTTTTACAAGATCGAGCTGGACGTGAACAAGCAGTGCAAAGGCGCCGTGACGGGGTTCACGGTCAATGGAAAACCGGCCCTGGCACCCACATTCGACCCCTACGCCACCAACGATACAAAGGCAGTAATCAAGCTTACGGTGAGAGTAACACCTGAAGACCTTTTTGTTGAACACAAGCACAACAATGCGTTCCTTGCTTGCCTCCCTGAAACATAAACCTGATGCTTGGGAGTTGGGAATGCTAATGTTCTCCTGGTCGTCCCTTCCGTCGCTCCCTCCTCAGGGCCTGAATCTTGACCTGACGACTGCGGACGGCGCTGTGGTGTGCATGACGCTGGGCGGCTCGTGTCCCTCCATGGAGACACTCTGTGCGGAGGGCAACGGCTTCTGCAAGTATGCCGTCGTGCAAAGTGGAACGTGTGATTGCTGCCCCGTGGGCAAGCTAGGCTTCTTTGCGCCGCCACCGGCTCCGCTCCCACCCAGCCCTTCTCCCCCAAGCCCCTCGCCGCCTAGCCCTCTGCCGCCTTCACCCCGTCCTCCCAGCCCCTCGCCCCCTAGTCCGATGCCGCCGAGTCCCCGTCCGCCGTCGCCGCTTC